TGTCGGGCGGGAGGCGATGGTGGTCAGCGCACATCCATTGGCGACAGAAGTAGGCGTAAATATAATGAAAAAAGGTGGAAATGCCATTGATGCAGCTGTGGCTGTGCAGTTTGCACTGGCGGTTGTGTATCCGCAGGCAGGAAATATAGGCGGTGGCGGATTTTTGGTGTATCGCGACAGCTTGGGCGCTGTGGCTGCCCTCGATTTCAGGGAAAAAGCACCGGCAGCCTCTACCGAAACGATGTACCAAGACGCTGAAGGGACGGTCATTTCCGAAAAAGCGCAGATGGGTCACCTGGCAGGTGGCGTACCCGGCTCTGTAGATGGCATGTGGCAAGCCCACCAAAAATATGGAAAACTCCCTTGGAAGGACTTGGTGCAACCTGCTATCGACTACGCTACGAATGGTTTCCGAATCACGAAACAAGAGGCGGACAACCTCATTGCGGAACACAACGATTTTCTCAAATATAGCACTTCCGGCTCGGCTTTTACGCAGAAAAAGGACTGGAAAGTGGGCAACAACCTTGTACAATCCGAACTCGCAGCTACGCTCACACGCATACGCGACCTCGGGCGCGATGGGTTTTACGCGGGCGAAACTGCTCAATATATCGTAGAGGAAATGCAGCGTGGCAAAGCCATAATGACGCTCAAAGATTTGCAAGATTACGCATCGGTGTGGCGCAAACCTATCGAATTTGACTATAAAAACTATCATCTCATCTCTATGCCGCCGCCTAGTAGCGGGGGGCTGCTCCTTCAGCAGATGCTGACGATGGTAAAGCCGTTGCCGCTAGCTAGTTATGGGTTTCACTCTTCCGAAGCCGTACACGCTATGGTGGAGGCTGAACGTCGCGCATATGCCGACCGCGCCGCACACATGGGCGACCCCGACTTCTGGAATGTGCCTACAATAATCACCGATTCCACTTATTTGAACGAGCGCATGCGGTCATTCGACAAGGATAAAGCGACCAAAAGCGCAGAAATGGGCGCTGGAAATATAGTAGAGAGCGAGCAAACAACGCATTTCTCCATCATTGACCCGCAAGGCAATGCGGTATCGGTGACCACTACGCTCAATGATAGCTATGGCAGCCGCATGGTGGTACGCGGTGCCGGTTTCATTTTCAACAACGAAATGGATGATTTCTCCGCCAAGCCCGGTGTACCCAATATATATGGTTTGGTAGGCTCCGAAGCTAATCGCATACAACCCGGAAAACGTATGCTCAGCAGCATGACGCCTACTATTGTGCTGAAAGACAATAAGTTACACTTGGTGGTTGGCTCTCCCGGCGGAGGCACGATACCTACTTCGGTGTATCAAGTGTTTTTGAATGTGGCGGAGTTTGGCATGGCACTGCCCGAGGCGGTGCAATCCAAGCGTTTCCACCATCAGTATCTCCCCGATACGATTGTAATTGAAAAGGCAGCACTTTCGCCGGAGACAGTCGCCAAACTCACT